TTAAATCTGTGATCGAATATAATTCTGCAATGTTTAGAATCAGTTCTCAACTGAAATTATGTGGAGAAAAGATCACTGATGAAGATATGTTAGAAAAAACATTTTCCACATTTCATGCATCCAATGTGCTCCTGCAGCAGCAATACCGTGAGAAAGGTTTCAAAAATATTCTGAATTAATTTCTTGCTTACTTGTGGCTGAGCAAAATAATGAGCTTTTAATGAGGAATCATGAATCCCGTCCTACTGGCTCCACTCCATTCCCAGAAGTGAATGTAGTGGCAACTGAATCAACCCGTGGCCATGGTCGTGGACGTGGACGGGGTCGTGGTCGTGGCCGTGGACGTGGCCGTGGTCGTGGAGGCGGTCGTTCCCACCAGAAGTGGGCAAATAATGATGAGCATCACCAAAAAGAATCTAGTGGAAATAATAATCATGTTGAAAATCTTTGTTATCGTTGTGGTGGCAAGGGTCATTGGTCTCGTACCTGTCGTACGCCAAAGCATTTGGTTGACCTCTACCAAGAATCGCTGAAAAATAAGAATAAGAATAAAAATAAAGGCAAAGAGCCAAAGGTGGAAACAAATTTTGTAGGAGAAGAAGGCGATTCTGATTATGGCAACATGGATGTTACTCACTTGGATGTTGCTGATTTCTTTGCCGATCCTGATGGAAGAATTGATCACTTAATTGGTGATGGAAGTGTTAAAAAATGAGTCATCTTGATGTAATTGAGTTTCTATAATTAAGCATATTTTCATGTTTTGCTTATAAGTGTGCTCTTTCACCTACCACAATAAATTCTGTACTTGTAAGGTTATTACCCCCAAAATAAATATAATTATGAGTTTTTATTCATGATAAAATTATATTTTCTTTTATTAATAATGTTTTCTTTTTAATCTTTTCCTATTTTTTTCATGAAGAATGACCATTATTGACATCAATAATGAAGATTTGTGTCTCGTTGATAGTGCAACAACTCACACAATACTTAGAAATGAGAAATATTTCTCTTCTCTGGTAATGCGAGAAGCCAATGTTCAGACTATATCTGGAAGTATAAATCTGATTGAAGGCTCTGGAAGAGCTAATGTATTACTACCTGAAGGAACAAAATTACATATTGATAATGCATTTTACTCTACCAAGTCTAATAGAAATTTATTGAGCTTCAAGGATATCCGCAGAAATGGATATCATGTTGAAACAATAAATGAAGGAAATCAAGAATACTTGGTTATCACAAACTTAATTTCTGATAAGAAATGCATTCTAGAAAAATTACCTGCCTTTTCTTCAGGCTTATACTACACACGTATTAGCACAATTGAAACACATGCTATTGTAAACCAGAAGTTTACAAGTGAGAATAAATTTAACATTTGGCATGACCGGTTAGGCCATCCCGGGACTATTATGATGCGAAAAATAATTGAGAATTCATGTGGACATTCACTGAAAAGTCAACAGATTCCACAATCACATGTTTTCTCATGTGCTGCATGTTCTAAAGGAAAGTTAATCATTCGACCATCACCAGCAAAAATAGAAAGTGAGTCTCTCACATTTCTAGAACGTATACAAGGGGATATTTGTGGACCGATACACCCACCATGTGGACCATTTAGATATTTCATGGTTTTAATTGATGCATCAACAAGGTGGTCACATGTTTGCTTATTATCCTCTCGAAACCTAGCATTTGCAAGGTTGCTTGCTCAACTAATTAGATTAAGAGCACATTTTCCTGATTATCCAATCAAAAGAATACGTTTGGATAATGCTGGTGAATTTACTTCACAAGCTTTCAATGAGTATTGTATGTCTCTTGGAATTGATATTGAACATCCTGTAGCACATGTTCATACACAAAATGGACTTGCAGAATCATTAATTAAACGACTACAATTAATTGCAAGACCATTACTGATGAGATCAAATCTCCCAAATTATGCTTGGGGACATGCAATTTTGCATGCAGCAACACTAATTCGTATCAGGCCAACAAGTTATCTCAAGTCCTCCCCTTTACAATTGGTTTTTGGTCAGGAACCTAATATCTCCCATCTAAGAATTTTTGGGAGTACAGTATATGTTCCTATTGCTCCACCACAACGTACTAAGATGGGTCCCCAAAGAAGGATGGGAATATATGTTGGATATGAATCTCCTTCTATAATAAAATATCTAGAACCATCAACAGGAGATTTATTTACGGCTCGATTTGCCGATTGTCATTTTGATGAATCAAAATTTCCAACATTAGGGGGAGAAAAGAAGCAGTTGGAAAAAGAGATTAGTTGGAAGGAAGTTTCATTATCTCAACTTGATCCTCGTACAAAACAATGTGAACTAGAAGTTCAAAAGATAATTCATTTACAAAGGTTAGCTAATCAGTTGCCAGACGCATTTACTGACCCAAAGAAAGTGACCAAATCACATGTTCCAGCTGCTAATGCTCCTATCAAAATTGATGTCCCTGTTGGACAACCTGCTATTGTAAATGAATCTAAAGCACGCATGAAGCGTGGCAGGCCCATTGGTTCCAAAGATAAAAATCCTCGAAAGAGAAAAGGAGCTAAAAATGTAGATGGCCAAGTCGAGGATAATCAAGAAAGAATTGCAATTCAAGAGGAGTCATTAGATAATGCTAATGTCTCAATTCCAAAAGAAAATCAACTACCTGAAATGTGCGAAAATGATGAGATCTCAATAAATTATGTTATGAATGGAATACGATGGGATCGAAATGAAGTCAATGTTGATGATATTTTTGCATATAATATAGCGCTTGATGTGATGAATGATGATGAGGATCATGAACCAAAGTCTATTAGTGAATGTAAACAAAGAAAAGATTGGCCAAAATGGAAAGATGCAATTGAGGCTGAATTGAATTCACTGGAAAAGCGAAAAGTGTTTGGACCTGTAGTCCATACACCTGCAGATGTAAAACCAGTCGGATACAAATGGGTTTTTGTGAGAAAAAGAAATGAAAATGGTGAAATTGTAAGACATAAGGCACGCCTTGTTGCCCAAGGATTTACACAAAGACCTGGTATCGATTTTGAAGAAACATACTCACCAGTGGTGGATGCAACTACTTTCCGATATTTAATAAGTCTGGCAGTAAAAGAAGGACTCGATTTGCGTCTGATGGATGTTGTTACAGCCTATTTATACGGCTCACTTGACAATGATATTTATATGAAACTCCCTGAAGGATTCAAGTTGCCGGAAGCATACAATTCAAGTTCTCGAGAGCAATACTCAATTAAGTTAAATAAATCTTTGTATGGATTGAAGCAATCAGGGCGTATGTGGTATAACCGTTTAAGCAAATATCTGTCAGATGAGGGATACAAGAATGATCCAATTTGCCCATGTATTTTTATGAAAAGATCTGGAAATGAGTTTGCGATAATTGCGGTTTATGTTGATGACATAAATATCATTGGAACTCCTGAAGAGCTTGCAAAAGCTATGGGTTGCTTAAAGAAAGAATTTGAAATGAAGGACTTGGGAAGAACAAAATTTTGTCTTGGATTGCAAATTGAATATTCAAGAAATGGGATCTTTTTGTATCAAGAAACCTATACAAGAAAGGTCTTAAAGCGTTTTTATATGGATAAATCACATCCATTATGTACTCCGATGGTTGTAAGGTCTTTGGAGAAAGATAAGGATCCTTTTAGACCTCAAGAAAATGATGAAGAACTACTTGGTCCAGAAGTACCATACCTTAGTGCAATTGGTGCACTCATGTATCTTGCTAGTCACACACGACCTGATATATCATTTGCTGTTAACCTACTAGCAAGGTATAGCTCGTCACCAACACGAAGACATTGGAATGGAGTTAAGCACGTTCTTCGTTACCTCAGGGGTACTATGGACATGGGGTTGTTCTACTCAAATGTACCCAAAACTAACCTCATTGGTTATGCAGATGCTGGATTCTTGTCTGATCCACATGTCGGTAGATCACAAACAGGCTATTTGTTCACATATGGTGGTACAGCCATTTCATGGCGTTCTATGAAACAAACCATATCAGCCACATCATCTAATCATGCAGAAATTCTTGCAATACATGAAGCAAGTAGAGAATGTGTATGGTTAAGATCGATAATACATCACATACGAACCACTTGTGGCTTGTCTTCCAGCAAAATGATCCCGACAATTATATATGAAGATAATACTGCATGTATTGCTCAACTAAAGGAAGGGTACATCAAAGGAGATAGAACAAAACATATTTCGCCAAAATTCTTCTTCACTCATGATCTTCAAAAGGATGGTGAAATCGGCGTCCGACAAATCCGTTCCAATGAAAATCTAGCAGATTTGTTCACCAAGTCACTTCCTTGTACAACATTTGAAAAGCTTGTTCATGATATCGGATGTCGTAGACTCAGAGATATCAACTGATATTACCAAGAGGGGGAGTTAACACATGCTGTACTCTTTTTTCCTTGACTATGGTTTTTATCCCATTGGGTTTTTCCTAGTAAGGTTTTTAATGAGGCAGCACTGAATAACATATCAATAAATGTGTACTCTTTTTCTTCTTCTAGGTTTTTATCCCATAGGGTTTTTCCTAGTTGAAGTTTTTTAACGAGGCACATATTTGTATAATGGACATCCAAGGGGGAGTGTTATGAATATTGTGTGGATGTCCATTTACCCCTTCCTCTTCATCTTCTCCAAGTAACTTCCACTACCTCCACCATCCATTACTCCTCCACTACCCATTACTCCTCCACTACCCATTCACTCTTGTAACTCACCTCCATTCACATTCATGGGATTGATTATCCACTATTTGTCATTTAAGAACAATTGTAACCTATTTGTAAGACTATGCCTATAAATAGGGCATGTCATTTGTGTTGTAATGCAAGTGAAGAAATACAAAAGCAATCTCATTCTCTTGTCTTCATCTTTCTACTTTTGTGGTTTCATTTTGGTTCTATTTTATAAGAATAAGGACTATCAGATCAGTTTTTCCTGTTTATAAGTATTGTAAGCTCTTGCCCGTTTGTCCGCGGCTCCATTGTAAGCTCTCGCCACCTTGTCCGCCGCGGCTCCTGATATCCAAACCATCGTCATTAATCAGCGTCGTCAGCAAACCGTCACTATTCTAAGCTCTCGCCCCCTTGTCCTCCCAGATTCACATCTTCACTCTGAATCTAGTTTCGCATCTCTCCTAGATTTATATATTGCTTGAAGCTCTCTTTGCCTATACCAGATCTGAGTGCCAAGTAAACCTCACTGGAATTTGGCGTCGTCATGCGATGGAAGGAAGTTTGAAGATCCAAACAGCAAAATTAACGCCTTGTTTTCCTTATTTTTTGAAAGCAGTTTTTTTTTAAAACCAAAAAAAAAAACTTGTTTGGTAATTTATTTTTAGTTAAGTTTTTTTTAAAAAAAAAAAACAGAAATCTGGTTTTGAAAGGAACTAAAATTTTTTTTAGTTGTTTCTTGTTTTTATTTTTACATTGTTTATTTCTGTTTAGAAAAATTGAGAAACCCTTTCGTCTCAATGGGTTGGCTTTCTTTCCCCCTATTTGAAGACTTGTTTTCTCATCAAAATTTCACCATCTGGTCTTAACATGTTCATTTTCAAATGTAATTTTTAGAATAATTATCTAAACAGATTTTTTTGTGTTTTGTTTCCAAAAATTGTTTTAAAAAATTTATAAAATTATTTTGAGAAAAAAAAAAATAAGTAAAAGGCCCTAAACTTCCCTTTATTTTGAGATTATAAAGTCATGGCGTTTGGTTTCTATGCTTCTGCGATGAAGATGACTGTATTATATTTGGTTTCTAGAAATTTGTCGGCCTTTTAGCGGAAAATTTTGGGAGAAGGAAGATGGAGAAGAAGATGGCGTCACCCTCCTTTTGTATTTCAAGGCTTCAATTCGACATAAACTAAAACACTCATAATATAATTATTAAGTGGCCACGGACCTCTCCCACGGATTGAAAGTGGAGTTTGTCTCCTGGATAGACTAACTCAAGGAGCTGTGTTAGAACCTAGTTAAAAATTAAATGAAATTACAAACATTGAGATATTAGTCGTGACGTGATTAAATATATATTTGTTATCATGTATAAAGAAAAATTTAAAAATCAACAATTCTCATATATCATAAGCAATGCAATTTATTGTTTAAAATCTGTATAACACCTAAGATATACTATTTCCAATCTTTAATATAAGATTTCATTTGACTTTTATTTTGGTCATAAATATAATACTCTAATCTACTTTGTCACTTATATTTATTTATTTTTTAAAGAAAGTTCACGCTTGATTAGTAAGGATATTTTTTAAAAAAACACATATTTATTACAAATAACTAACTAAACTTACTTTTTTAATTTTATTAAATTAGTCAACTAGTTCTTATAAATCGGACTGAAGATAATATATTGGTTTTGATAAAAATATATGACAAATTGTAATGGCTTTGGTGAATTTGAGACTCTATCGTTAAAACGTTGTAGTTTAGTGGGTTAGGATACTCGGCTCTCACCCGAGGGATCCGGATTCGATTCCCGCAATGGAACTTCTTAATTTTTAAGTCAAATAAAAAGCGGGAGTATTGTCTTTTTGCAAGATTCGCTGTGGTACACTGGCATCTGGTATGCTTCTCTGTTATCGCTTGATCGAGGTTTCTCACTGATAAATCGATTTTCCTTTTATCCATTGGCAAGTTGTGATTTTGTTTAATACGAATGCTTATGTAGGCTTCGGAAAAGAAGTCTTCCAACCCAATGAGGAAAATCAAAGTCCAGAAGCTCGGGGTTACTAGAAATGCTAAGGTTGGCTCTGTAACCATTTTCTAATTTCTGCTAGCTTTTAGAAGAATATTGGGTTTCGAGAGATCAGAATGTTTCTGCGAAGCATTTGTATTACATATGATGCTTTACCGTGTTATCTGGAATTCCTGATTAAAAGAGACGATAGAAAAATTAGACCTTTCTTAAACGTTTAATATTTTGTCGAGTTCATTTTGCTGTCTGTTCCTAAAGATAAGCTCGCAAAATGGATGCACTATAGACGTTAATTCCTCCCCTTATTTATTTTGCAATTCAGTCCTTACCTCATAGATGACGTATTTCTCAATTTGGTTCTTGAAACAAATCTATTCACCTGTTCATTATCGAATATCCATATCTTTCTATCAAATCCAGATATACTCATATGTGAGGGACCATTATTTATAACAGTTTTATTTGGGAGCCACTTACCTTGAGAAGTATCTATCTCTTAAAAACCTAATGAAGGAGGCAAATTTATAAGTGACGAAAATTGAGAATTGTCTTGTTTGTTAACGACCAAATGAGGAAGGCAACTTTTTTGCTGGGATCAAAACAAAATCACCTCATTTACCCTGTAATCATTTTTTTTTAGTGGCATGCTTAAATGTTGGAACAATTAAGTGGACAAGCCCTGGTATTCAGTGCTGTTAGATGTTTTGGATTTGGTATTCAGGAGCATATTGATCTTGGAATCAAGTATGTTATAAGTATCATGGTTACCAAATAAAGAGTTATGAAAAATATATCCCACGTTATGACTATGAAACTAATTAACTTCCCTTAGCTTTAATTGTCTATCTTCCATCAGGCAAAATGGTGGAGAAACAATGTTTAAAGAAACCTCTCTTGATACTTGTATTGGAGTCTATTCCGTTATGGCTGAACTTCTTCAAGTCTTTGGCATCGGTTCAATCAAACTTCTCTTAATAATGATGCATTTTGGTCAAAACCATAACAATTTGTGTGGGCCTTGCGACAGGAACTACTCTGTGTCCATCAAACGATGCTTGTTCTTGATAGATTTTATTTCTTCATGTTAACTTGTGACTGTCTTTCATTTTGTGATCCATTTTTTCTGGCAGGGACCATCAATAAACATGATCCATTTATTATTGTTTGATTGACAATTTTTATTAGCAGCATTCATGTATGTAAATTTGACTAACTGGCTAATGTTGTTCTACCTTGGGTATAATCCTTCAGCTGAGATCTATGGGATGGATTTCTTTGTTATAATGCCCCGGTTTTCGTGTTGGTCGACCCCAAAAATGCAAGTCCCGAATTGGAATTCAACATGGGGTGACTAAAGAAGAGGCAATGAAGTGGTTTCAAGTGTGCAGGTGTAATTCTTAACAAGTCCCAAGAAGTTGTATCCTAGAGCACTATACATGAAGCTTGTGGTTTTGGTTCTAGAATTTTGGTATGATATTAACCAAGTTGAGCTCTTGAGTTTTGTTATGAAGAAATTATTTCGTATTTACCAATAGTTTGTTACCTTTTGGATTCTTACATGTATTTACTTGGGTTTTTTTTTTTTTTTTTAACAAAGGACCACTGCCGTTTTCTGTTTGACTTTCAAGTAGTAGATAAATCTTCTCTAAAAGTAAAATTCAATTAAAATGGGTGAGAAAGAGAAGAAAGTGAGGTTCACCCATGTCTTTCTTTGGTGCCCTCTACATTTCCCTCTTCACTTGGTTAATTAAACCAAAGTGAATACAGATGGATGAAATTTTGTTGAGCTGTGGGAAATAGAGGGCAGGTGAAATAACAGTGTTTTCTTTTGTTTTGTTTGAGGCTATAAATAGAATGTGGTTGCATAAGATTCTAACATCTGAGAAAGAAAGATAATGTCATGTTGCATGCATATGGAGATAGCAGTTACGTATGGATTGCAAGGGGTTATGGGAAAAGAATATTATACATCTGTTGTCTAATTATTGTACACTAAATATTATTTTTAATTTTTAATATAAGAACTAATTATATATTTAGATTTGATTTTACATATAAGACCTTAATTTATTTTGCCTTTCATATTTATTATTTTTTTAAACTAATTTACTTCGCTTATAGATTGATATATAGTTTAATGTTATATAAGGGTATTTTAGGTGGTCTGCAAGGGTTATGGGAAAAAGAATATCATGCACCAAATCATTAATCAACATTTGTTGACCATTTTCTCTCTCCTTTTGCTATTCATATAACTGGAGAAAAAAATATAACAATTTATAATATTTTTCTCTCTCATGGCCGTCGTTGTTTTTTTTATTTTTTTCCCCTCCACGGTTCTTCTCCACTCTTTCACGCCTACGAAGTCACGTTCTTCAATATAATTGAGGTTCTGCATCTTACAATAAATAATTACAAACCCAACTAAATTTGTCAATATTCCTAAGCTAATCTCATTTTCTTCAACGACAACGTTTCAAACAGAGGAATGAGAAAATACCCAGAATCCCAATAGAAGAAAGCGCTACTGACACACCAAGAACAACCTTGTTAGGCCAATGACGACGTTCCTTAGCATCATCCTCTTCATAGTCATCATAATCTGAATCACTTGGATCATCCCAAGAAAGATCCTTCCCTCGTGGAGGCAAAATGGGCATTCCATGCTTATTACAGGGAGCAATACCAAGTTTCAGTTTTGATGACAGAATCGAACGATTATAGCACAAATTAATGTTCCCACTTACTCTGAACACTTCCAATCTCTCTATGAAACTCAAATTGAAAGGCAAAACCCCATGAAGATCATTGTTCGCCAGATTCAAATGCTTGAGATTCTTCATCTGCGAGAGGAACCTGGGAATCGAACCATTTAGTTTGTTTGAGCTCAGATCCATGTGAACCAAGCCAGGAATGGCAGAAACCGAATCGGGTATGGGTCCAGAAATCGAATTCGCAGCCAAAGAGAGGTTTTTGAGGGATATTAAGTCCCCAATGGAAGTGGGTATTTCACCATCCAGCGAGTTATACGAAAGACTCATGAATTCCAAACTGTCCAACCTCGTATATGAAGTGGGTATACTTCCTTTCAGCTGATTACCAGAGAAATCGATGTGGGTGACGTTAGAATCTATAAAGTTTGGAAGAAAACCAGTGAGATTGGCGTAAGAAATGGCGATGTACTTGAGTTTCTTCATACGTCCAATTATCACAAGAAGACCAGAAGCATTAACAGGCACATTGGACACAGTGAGGTCTGTGAGATTCTCAAGGCGTGAGAGCCAGACGCCAGTAAGCTTACGGAAACTGTTAATGCAGACGAAGGATCTGAGAGAAGCAATGAGCTCGGAAGGGAAGGCGATGGGAGCGATAGGACAGTTTTGGAAGTGAAGAGATTGAAGAGTTGAGAGAGACTTCAACGCAGTGAAGGTGAGAGTGAGATAAGAGGAACAATTAGAGAGCGAAAGAGAAAGAAGATGACGAAAGGGTGTCGCAGAGTCACAGAAAGTTACATTGTGGAAGGAAGGTTCAGAACACGGATCAGTTGAGGTGAGGATGTTGAGGGATTCAAGTGCTTTCGTCTGGTTCGGGTCGAGAGACGATTTTGAAGAAGAAGAAGTGGGTGTGCTCATGGAGGGAGAAGTAATGAAGAGAATGAGAAGACATGAAAGTGAAAGTGGTGAACTCATTTCGGCTCAGTGGTGACAGAGAGGAACTGGGGAGAAGGAGGAGGAAGAAGAAGAATGAGAAAAGGATTTGGAACATGTTCATTTTTAATTTTGAAGGGAGATTGCTAAAATGATACAAAGTATGTAAAGTCTGTCATTTTAAGCAAGTTTTACACATTTGAATGCAAATGTGAATAATAATTTAGATTTCAGATAAATGTTCTCTTTCATTTTATCGAAGTAGCGAAACTCAACATTTGATCAACGTCTCAGATAATTTTGTGTTTGACAAATACTTACTTGACTCATAATTTAAATCCGTACTATACATAAGACTACAAAAGTTAAACTTCTTGTCTTGAAATCTTGCAAATATTAGAACTAGATAAGAGGTTTATTTTAGTAAGTATAAAATCTCAATTTATTTTGCCTTTCAAATTTATAATTGTTTCCCAAAAAACCTATTGATTGCATATATTAATAATATTTTCAATAATGGTACCAATATACATAATTAAAGAGAGTATTTTAGAAAAACCAACATACATTTATTACAAATAACTAAGTTAACAAATATTTTTAATATTTATAAATTAATTATTTAACTTTTATTTTAAGCACAGTAGGTAGTATATTTGTTTAATGTACAAGAAATTGTGTGTAGTTTTTTCTCCACATAATGCTCATTAAATTAAAAAGAGAAATGTGTGTTAAACCGTTTTCTTTTCTTTTATTTCTTTTCCCTTTCTTACCCATGTCTTTCTAATACATATAAGAGCTAGATAGTTAATTTATAAAAATTAAGAAAATAGTTAACTTAGTTAATTATAATAAATAGTTGCCAAAAAAAGTTAGATATAATAAATAAGTATTGTTTTTTCTAAAATATTCTTGTTAGTAATATACATTAGAGTTACCTTTTGATAAAAATCTCTTACCATGTGCAATCACTCTAGGGATTGCTTGTGAAAAAATTGATAAATATTATAGACAAATTGAATTGAAGTGTTATATTTATGATCAAATTAAATCTCAAACTAGCTGTTATATTAAAGATTGTAGTAGTACGTTAGTAAATAATAATGAAGTTGGCAAAAATATTAGTAAATAATAACACAATGTGTTCATTATTCTGCAATAAAATTCACAGTATGATGACTCGTATCAAAAGAAAAGAGTTATGATATATATGTTATTTACATAAATATAATTCATGAAATGAAAAGATATCTAGTTTTTTATTTTTACCAGAAGATATCTAGTTAATTAGATCAATAGAATAGTTTGATTATAAATATCAATTTGACATCATTATTTTTATTAAAAAAATCTAAGATTTATTGATTTTAAAAGCATAATTCAATAATATTTCAAAACTTTTTAAAATTAAAATTAATTTAATTAAAAATATAATTTTGAAGTCGTGCTTTTATTATCATGGTATGATACATTAAGTTACGTTGGAATGGACGTTTGTGTCTTTTGCATACAAATTACAAGAGTAAACTGGAAAAGTTGTCTGAAATAAACTATGCATAATATACGCCACTTATTCAAAACTAAAGACTGAAACACTTTTTCATGGTATTTTTATTTCATTACTCATTTGCAAGAAATGGTTTAATTTGTCTGTTCCTCTGGGAATTTCTTCGAATTTTGGTCACGTAAGGTAAGGGGCTCTTGGGCTTGTTTTTCGAATAGTAATTATTTCAAAACATAAAACAGCAGGCAGCTATTGTTATTTTTAAGTCAGGGAGATTTTTATTTCTTTTATTTATAAGTTATATTGTTAAAATTTTAACATAAATGTATAACTTTGTCCTTCATTTATTATTATGTAGATTGTTATTTCTAAAGTTTATATAATAAATAACGATAGAGTTAAAAAGTTTTTAAAAATTTTAAGATAGTATTAATAAGTTTTAAGGTTTTTCTTAATTACCGTGGAACATGTTGAAAATAATTTATAAATAAAATCACACGAATATATGATGTCTTTTTTTTTTTTATTTCAAAAATCATTACTGTATGAAGTTGATGTATGGGTGGAATTGACATTTCTGTCTTTTACATTCAAATTACAAAGAGTAGAAGGAGTCAGAAATAAATGGTGGAGTATGTCGCTTACTCAAAACTAAAGACTAAACCAATTTTTCATGGCATTTTTTGTTTATTTTATTACTTATTTGCACCAAGTGGTTTGTCTATTCTTTTGGGGATTTCTCAAAAAAGATTGATAAGTGAGGTACAGAACTCTTAAGTTCTTTTTTTGGGCAAAATAATTACTCAAAACATAAAAAAGTATGCAGCTTCCAGCACCCTCCAACAATTGTTGTTTTAGAGGATTCCTTTATGAGGGAAGATGAGAGATTGACACCAAATTAAAACATGAAAGTTATGAAGTAATAATGAAGAACTACACATTAAAAAGAAATGAACTAATCAAAGAAAGTTGGTTTTGAAATTTGTATGGCACCGTTTGATTCCTTTCCTATATTGCATGAGTTTTTGAGAGTTGTTATTTTACAGTTTTAGCCATGCTTGAGATTCGTTTGTAGCTTTTATTCTTTAATTAATTGGTAATTATTTGTGGATTATAAGGGTTTATGGGTTGAGTCACAGTAAACCACAAGAGCACTCTCACACTGACTATGCTTTTAATTTTCCATCTTACTCCTGGGCACAAGCTACTTAGTAATTACAATTAAAAAATGATGGAAAATTTGGAGGGAAAAAAAAGAAGTAAGCTTTACTCATATAGCTGAACAAAATCCATTTTAGTTTAATAGGTACCCTCATTAATTTCTTAATTAGATTCCAAGTTAAGAAAAAGAACAACGTCCTGCATGTCAATCATTTTAATATGTAATTGGAAATACAGTCATTGTTACATAGAGACACTGAAACTTGATTTTTTCACAAGATGACACAGGATGTTCTCCAATGTTAAAAAAAGAAAACAAATATACAAATTTTCAACCTTATTGTCAAACTACAGAACAGTTCAAAAAAGAAGTAATATCTATGACTTAATTGGAACTCATAATCAAAACAGTCCAAATATTTGGCACAATCCTTTTATTGGCTTCAGCAGTCTATAGCAATACACTCCTGAGAGATGGTTGTGCTGTCCACTTTGCTCACAAATGGATTTATCTTGACCCATATAAGAGAGAAGACAGAGGCAAGAAGAACTGACCAAAGGACGACAATGGTTGGAGTCCTATTTTGTCGTCCCATGAGACCTTTAAGGAACGGGTAGAGATGAAAAATGACCCAAAAGGCAAAGAACACCTTCCCAAATAGTGGACCCCAGGATTCATATCCTCCATTAAGTGCATCAGAAAACCCAGCAACAACACCAACTATGTTAACCACAATAAGGGTTGTTGGGGGGATTAAGAGTGTTGTCCACTTGATCATATATAATTCACCAAACTCAGTGTCATCAGCAGCCTTGGCAGTGACAGTAAAGTTGGTATCCACACCAGCTAACATCTTCAGAAATCCTTGGAAGACAGCAAAAAGATGGGCTGAAACACCTCCAATCACCCAAAATTGCTCATTACGCCACAAATCTTCGATACCGACCCCACTCCAACGCAGCTCAAGCACACTGGTCACTATGATGGAGAGGAACAGCCCAAGAAAGAGGACACTCGCAAGGTTGGAAAGCTGCATCAGATAAAATATGATGTAAGAGATTTGGGACATCTGGGTGTAGTGTCTTAATTTGGTTCACAATTTATGCACCATGTCCAAAGGATGCTACATTAACTTCTAATGGGTGCTTAAGCAGAATGGGGAATCCTACCCTAAACTAATTGTTGAGGCAAGAGAACCAACCTACTTAAATAATCCCCTTGAGCATCCCATGTTACTCAATTACCACCAATTCTCCATCAACTTCTGACCATATTTATTAGCTATCCATTGTTTTCTTTACTTCCGTAGCTGAGAGTATCTTATATGTAATATGGAACTTGGTTGAAATACTTATAAGGGACCAATGAATGAATAAGGACAAATATATCTCAGTAGCTTTTCATGTTAGATGGAAGAATAAAGATCAGAAGTTACCGTTGGTATGATAAACTTTCCAGTGAGAAGGCAGATTGCTGGCAAACAACAATAAGCAATGAGAGGAAGGGACGTGAATGGGTAGACAATGGTATTGATATAAGCCAGTCTTTGCAACCATCTAAGGCGGCCACCTCCATAACCATACCAAAGGGGACAGTGTCTACTAAGGAAAATCTCAACTGATCCAAGTGCCCATCGCAAAACTTGGTGCAATCGATCAGACAGATTGATGGGTGCTGACCCTTTAAATGCAGGCCTCGTTGGCACACAGTAAATTGATCTCCAGCCTCGACATTGCATCTTGAACCCCGTCAAGATATCCTCAGTGACTGAACCATAAATCCAGCCAATCTGAACAAAAAAAAAGTCAAATAATCAGTTAAAGAAACAAGAGAATTCCAAATTCCAATATAATTTCCAGGTATCTGTTATCACATTACTAGTTCTTTTAAGAGTATTCCTTCATATGTTATGCTTTTATTAGAAAATTTAAAGCAAACACCTAAGAAACTTTATCCAAGTTTAGTCCTTAAGTATCCTATATCTCCAACTTGCTATATCTGGTAGGCTTGCTTCTGCACTGCATTTTGTACAAGACCAAGAGTATTTTAAGCCTAACCTCTTTTCCCCATTCAGTCTTCTCTTCATACCCACAGCTAATCACATGAATGGCCTCTTTGATCAGTGTTGAGGGATTGACAGATTCAGGAACCCCTCCGTTCTCCATTAGAGTAGATTCAATAAAAACAGATGACAAGCCGAATGTTTTCTCAAAGCTCCTCTGCGAAATCAACATTGATCTTTCATGCTCATCATAATCTGCATGGAAAGGAAAGGAGAATATAAGATATTAAAAATTCAGCGATATCCTTAACTAAATCTGATTGACCAAATTAACTAAGCTTACTGTCAATCTCTTTGAGATTAAAAATGGCAGC